AGCGTAATGGACTCTCCGATCTGGATCTGGTCAAATTTTTACTCTCAGACCTTGACCGCTATGTCTCTAGCAGAATGGCGTTATTTGCCTTAGCAGCAAGGAAAATCAGAATGAGTTTAGTATTTAACACAACGTGGAAGCAGTATAGAAGTATACTGATATTGTTCTATTGTCTACATTACCATTTTATGACCTGATGTATTATGTTACGGCCTATGGCTAAGACAATAAACACTGTCAATCCGAATAGACAATACAGACCTTGATAGTGTAAGGCAGTGTGTGTGTGTGTGTATGTGCAAGGATTTTTTTGTAGAAAAAGCCCAGCAGGAACTCATTAGCATAATAAGCCATACCCAACAGCAGAAACTCATTAGCATATTAGGCCACACCTCTGATAGCGCAGCTCATTAGCATATTAGGCCACACCCCCATGTTACCAGAAGTGTGCTCATCCAGCCACACCCACCTTTTGCTTCTTATTCTGTTGACCTTGTTTGTTGTCAAAACCCAGGGCTTTTTTTGTAGCAGGAACTCCTCTGCATGTTAGGCCACACACCCCTAATGTAGCCAATCCTTATGAGTTTCTGCTGTTGGGTGTGGCGTTATGCTAATGAGCTCCTGCTGGGCGTGGCCAACTCGGGAGCCAGCCGGAACGCCGTTCTTGTGCGTTCCTGCCCAAAAATAGCCGTGTGTGTGTGTTTGTGTGTGTGTGTGTGAGAGAGAGAGAGAGAGAGCGCACAAGGCTGTCAAGGCACCAGTGGACGCAAAAAAGTGAAGGGCAAAGCAGAACAGCACCAGGGGGACTCCTGATGGAAACCCTGTGGGGGGGGGTAGGCTGGTCCAAAGCTCCGTACAGAGCCTACACCGGTCACTCCAAATGTTCACTGCTGACCCCCAACTGTGCTGCACAATCCCTTCACCAACAAAAGACATTATCGCAACCGTCACTGTCAAAAGTACGGATTGCACCAGCCGGCTGCACTTAGGAATTAAGCACATTGGACTACCCCCCCCCCCAAAAAAAAACCCTCTCCCTGTTCAGCCCTTGCTGGCTTGCACCCGGGTTGCGGGAGGGAATGACGAGCAAGAAAGATGCCACCTCTTCCCATGTGCCACCCTCAGTTGATTCGGCACCTTAAGGACACACACAGACACAACCATTTCTGCCTCCTTTCTCTGCCAGGGACCCATCCGCACTCCGTGCTTCTGAAATCCTTGGCGCATTTCCACCCTTCTCTTCATATAAACCAAGAGGGATAGCTGCGTTGTTCTGCTTGCAGCAGTAGAAAAAAACAAGAGTCCAGGAGCACCTTAAAGACTGGCAAAATTCATGGCAGGGTAGGAGCTTTTGCGAGTCCCTGCTCGCTTCTTCAGATACGGCTAGAACGTGAGTCCATCTTTCCTTCTGTCTCGGAGATAGATGGACTCAGTTTCCCTGTATTTGAAGAAGTGAGTGGCGACTCACGGAAGCTCCTACCCTGCCACAAATTCTGTCAGTCTTTTACGGTGCTCCTCGACTCTTGCTCTTTTCTACCCCTTCTTTTAGTGTGTGTAGCCACGCAAGCACCTTTCTAAGGAAATACGGAGAGCGAAACTACGGAGAAAGACACGCCGCCAAGCGGCAGAGGACTTGCACAACAGAGAAATTTTAAGGATGAAGTCCTCCCCCTCCCTAACCCACACACTGATACATAGTTCTGTTCCTCTTACCATGTCCAAAGATTCATGAGCAACCAGAACTCCCACCTTCCAGGACAAAACGAACTCTGGGCTATCGGGGAGCGCCCCCGATCCTTCTTGGCTTCTGGAGAACCCCCCCAAATTGGCTCGAGTTTGAGCAGTTTGTGATGACTGTCCACGTCACCTTCACAGCTTGACCACCGTCCGGAAGGAGGAGAAAACGCAGTCCGTTCCAGGAGGGTCAGCTCTGCGCCAGCAAGCCCCGCTCCACTAGGATTGTCTTCACGTTCTCCACAATGGTCGAGACCTCAGCCATGGCACCACGACCTGAACGGCAAGAACAGAACCCGGTCAAGTTCCAGCTCTCCTGGGAGAGGCGTCTGCCCTCACCTCCGATGCTGACCTCCACCCACAGGCAGAGCTTTAATCATGGGAGGGGCCGTGGCTCAGTGGCAATCTGCTTGGCATGCAGAAGGTCCCAGGTTCAATCCCTGGCATCTCCAGTTAAAAGGACTGGGTAGTAGGTGATGGGAAAGACCTTGACCTGAGACCCTGGCTCAGTGGCAGAGCATCTGCTTGGCATGCAGAAGGTCCCAGGTTCAATCCCTGGCATCTCCAGTTAAAAGGACTGGGTAGTAGGTGATGGGAAAGACCTCTGCCTGAGACCCTGGCTCAGTAGTAAAGCACCTGCATGGCACACAGAAGGTCCCAGGTTTGGTCCCCGGCATCTCCAGTTAAAAGGACCAGGCAATAGGTGATGGGAAAGACCTCTGCCCGAGACCCTGAAGAGCTTCTGCCAGTCTGAGTGGACAACACTGACTTTGATGGACCGAGGGTCTGATTCAGTAGAAGGTAGCGCCATGTGTTCATGTATGCAGGCCATCCCACATGGCAGGTCCAGAAGATTTCTCAGCAGTTACCTTGGCAATCATATGCTAAATACACTTACCAATGCCTGCATGGTCAGTCAGGGGCTTCAAAGGAACTGGGAGTGGTTAGCTCATTACAAAAAGAAGTGGACCCTCTTTAGATTTTTAATGCCACCTCACCTTGCCGACACTTCGCCCTTTGGAAGGGCCGCCACCCCACCCCCCCCTGCCTTGCCTATCGAACCACTTACTCCCTCGACTGGATTTTGGTTCCATCTGAGGTCTTGTCAGAACCCACAGCTTACAACGAAGTACACGCATTCAGGAGTGGTTATACGTTTATTGCAAAGCTATAGATGCAGTAACACAGGCACTGTTGAGAATGGCGGCAACCCATTGAGCATAATAGGATATAGGGCATTCGTATGCGCACACACACACACACCCATGGTATGGGCCAATTAGATACCCTCCCACGCGCGGGACCGGCTAGGAACCCGTTAGGTGGCAAAAGCTGGGAAGCAATAGTATCTCACGGTACCTAGGAGACTTCCAGACAATACAACTTCCAACATAACATCCTCCTGAACATCTGTAGAGATAAGCGTTGCGGTACAGGCAGAACAGCAGGGACAGGAATGCAATAGCAATCACCAAGACACGGAATGAACTCCCCAACCCCCATGGCAGCATAGCTGACAGGTCTCTGGAGCAATGTAGGATGTGTGCACCTGGGGAACTGGACCTTAGGAACTCAGAACCACCCTGATGGGTCAGACCAGTGGTCAACCTTGTCCAACATCCTGTTTCACGCAGCCGCCCACTAATGCTCCCTCTAAGCTGTGGAGTCTCGTGAGCAAAAATTCTGCTTTGTGAGATAAGTTGTGAGCAAGCGATTTGGCTACGGCATCGATTAGTTTGCTCTGGAGCCGTCCTTCCTGAGCTAAGACAAAAAAGCTGTGAACTAGAGGGTAAAAAACTGGGAGCTAGCTCACACTCACTCGTCTTAGAGGGAACACGGCCGCCAATCTGTTGCCCTTCATTCCCCCAAAGCAAGGCAGAGAAACAAAATCCTCTACTTGATTTCCTCCTAGCCTTGGTATTCAGAGGTTGACTGCCTCGGTACATAGAGGTTCATTTTAGTAATCGTTGCTCGTAACTACTGACAGTCCTCCAGGATTTATTTACTTCATTTATATCCCACCTTTCTCCCCAATAGGGACCCAAAGTGGCTTATATCATTCTCGCCTCCATTTTGTCCTCACAACAACCCTGCGAGGTAGCTCAGGCTGAGCGTGTGTGACTGGCCCAAGGTCACCCAGCAAGTTTTCATGGAAAACTGGAGATTCAAACGTGGGTCTCCCAGATCCTAGTCTGAGACTTAAACCACCACACCATCCCGGCTTCTGTTATTTTATAGCATCCTATCCATTTTTCCTTTTTTTTGGTGCCCTTATGCATATGTATACACGCCGACCAGATTTAACACTTCATGCATCTGATGAAGTAGGTTCATGAAAGTTTCCACCCACAACAAATGTCAGGATTCAAGCTTTAGGGAGGCAACAGCCAACATAACTGACCTTCATCTCCGCAAACCAGCTTCTTCACGATGCAAGGGATCTCTGTGTAGCCGAAGCTCACGAGCTGCTCGATTTGCCGCGCTGTGATTGGGTGCTCCCACATGGCTGTGTTCATGGCAGGACAGAACAGCAGTGGCTTGCTGAGATCCCAGGCACGAACAACGCAGGTCTGGAAAAGAAGGGAGAACATTACAGGCTGGAGCGGACTCTACGGGCATGCTGAAGGATAATTCCTTCTCTACCTGCACATGAGACGCGACGGCCAGTGAGTTTCAGCTTCTGCTTCCCATGCTTCTAGAGCAGCTTTTGCAGGGGTTCCGATTTAACTCGAGACAGACAGACAGAGAGACTGACTTGGTTTGGGTGTCAGCCGAAGATCATCAATGCACAGTGGAGGGATGGGGCACATAGCAGCAGCAGCAGCGGAAGAGACTGGATTTATACCCTGCCCGTCACTACT